TGCTGCCAACAAAAAGGTTGCCATTTTCCTAGGACACTTTCCTGGCCCCACTCCCAAGGGCCAATCTCTGGAACCCAGTCAGAGCCAGGCAGCCTCTGTCCTGCTGGCTACTTTTTATTCTTTGGAGAAAATCACACCCCTCCCCAGCTCTACCCTCCCACTTCCTCACAAGCAGGGTAGTACGGCACCGCAACAGGGCACCCAGAGAGGTGGTGGAGTCTCCATTGCTGGAGTTTTTTAAGACCTGGTCGGACAAAGCCTTGGTTGGGATGATCTAGTTGGGGCTGGTCCTGCTTTGAGCAGGGAGTTGAGCTAGATGTGACCTCCTGAGGTCTCTTCCAACCCTCATTTTCTAGGATTTCCTGTGACATAAGTGCAGAGGAAAGCCCTAAAACCTACACCAAACTCTTCTTGGATGAAAACGTGGGAAAAAAACCCGAAACAAGCTGCTCCACTCCAGACCCCATCCAATCCACCCTTGTGAGGGTGGGGGAGCTGGCTGTGTTCTGGGTGCAAGGGCCGTCCTCCCTTACCTGGGCAGCAGTCTGGTCCTGCGCTGTGTAGTTCAAGGGGGTGAGGGTGCAGTTGGAGTGGACACGGGCAATACCGTGGGGTGACTGCAGGCTGACGCTCAGGCTCAGGGTATAGGGAAGTTCTCCCTTGGCCACATATGGGACACCTGCGGTGACATTCTCCCCTTCCCATCCTGCAGGAAGGCAGATGGCCAAGATGAGGGGCCGGGGGAGGGATCTGGGGTCACATACTTTGGGAGACTTCTAGGCTTTGCAGGGAGGGGCTCACGGTTGGGGTACAGGTGTGTTATGCAGTGAGACAAATGGCAGGGGGGGTTTGAAAGGCCTGTAGTGTACAAGGCGTTTGGGGTGTCTTGTAGTGGGATGTTGAACAGGGGCTCCGCGGTCAGCTGAGAAAGTACAGGTGATTACTGGCGAGCCAGGGAGGTGGCAAAGGCATCCATGTTTGCATTCTTTTTATGAATACTAGGACTTGGTTTCCTTGTTCAATCTGTGCTGCACCTTGGAGGGGCTCAGCTTCTCTGCTGGTTTTCAGTGAACAAGGCCTAACCGGATGCCACTTCTGCACATTTGGGCCAGCACCAGTTAGGTCAGTGAGCTCTGACCAGATTCAAACCAGGAGAGGGCCCTGGATAGATGGAAAGAGGCCCCAAGAGCCAGGACCCAAGCAGGTGGGCATGGGGCCAGAGCGACTGTGGGGACGCCACTGGCATTTAAGGTGATATTCTGGCTGGAAACTCTCCCCCAGAATGCCTTCCTGTTCACAGCTGCTGCACGATGCAGGTGCAACACTTGGCCATGTTTGCTGGTGTCCCATGCCCTCACCACAAGAAGATGTGTTGGGAGGATGCACCAGGTGTAAGAGGAGTGTGGCCAGGTCTCCATGGCCCCTGCCTACATTTGCTGAGACCTCGTATCTCTCTGTAGGAGACTGCACTGGCATGAACTTGGCCATCATGGGCAGACAGGAGAAACTCTGCCAATGTTCATGGGTTCCTGGGGGCGTGGGAAGTTTGAGGATCACTTCATCATGTTGGGGAGAGGTGGTAAGCATCATGTGAAATGCAAGCTGTGGTGTCTGGTCCAGCCAGGACTGCATGCTGTGCGGGACTGGATTCAACACAGAAAGCAGTGTGGTGCACGGGGTGAGGGGAGGGGTCCACAGGAGACAGTCAGCATGGGATGTGTGGAAGGGCCCCTGTGGGCATGTGTTGGGCAAGGCCCCTCACCCCAGGGCACATAACAGGGAGGCTACAGTGGTCATTCCTCAGGGGGCATGGGACAGAGGGATATCCCCTGCCACAGGATGCTTAGCGAGAGGGTTATCACCCACAGCAAGGTGCATGGTGCAGGGTGTGCAACTCACCCTGTGGTGCGTAGCGGGGATGCAACACAGCTGGCAAGACAAAGCGCGTGGCCCCGTCCGCCTCAAGGGGCAGCTCCTGGACATAACGCAGTGACAGCACTGCCTCTTCCCCTGGGGGCAGGTTCCCGAGGGAGCAGCTGAACACGTCGCCCCCAGACATCTGCTCCAGCAGGAAAGAGCTCTGGCCGGCCATGCGCTCGCTGCACTCCCCCACCACCCCAGGCCACATGCTGCATTCCTCCACCCTTGCATCCCTGCCTCTCCCCCCGCTCTGGGACCCTCTTTCCTTGACGTCACCTCCTTCTTGTCTTGGATCTGGGCCTTGATGATGGTGTCTTGGATGCGGGCCTGGAAGGCATAGACAGCCGAGTTGGCATCCATGGGGAAGGTGAAGATAGCCTCCACAGGGTCCGATTCCTCATTCTTGTACAGCAGCTCAGAGCTCACATCGGCCACGAAGCTCTGGATGCACGCGTCCACCGCAACACGGCGCAGCGGCACTGGAGCCAGGGAGAGGCTTTGTCAGCTACAAGGCCTCCTGCCCTTGACCTCCACGGACACTGCATGCTCACATTAGCAGCGGGGACCCAGGCCTCATGTCTCCCGACTGACACTGTGGGGAGGAACCCACTTGGACATCAAGCCCCCTTGGCTACTGGGGACGCGGGGCACGCTAGCCACAGGCCCTCTAGCTACATAGGTTTCAAGGGTGCTGGGGGAGAGGCTACCTTAGCCCTGGAGCTTTCCACCTTATAGGGGGAGCTATATATAAACTATGGCAATTCCACCCATGGACCCCACTAAGGTGCCCCAAAATTTGCAGCGGCCTCAGGACTGACTTGACCCCACTGGACCGCAAGTGGAGGGGCCAGGTGAGCAACCGGAGTTCCCCATCCTAGGGGGCACTGGGCAGAGGGTCTTTATCCTCCATGGGCTCTCTCATCATGCCAGCTGCTTCCAGGACACAGCTGTGCCCAGCCTGCTCATGGCACCCACCCCACCTGGCCCCAGCTCACCTGGCTTGTTGCTACTTGTCAGGAGGCCGCAGGTCACCATCTTGGCTCTGGAGGTGCCTGTTTGGGGTAGAGCACACAAGGAAGGATACAAGGTTCCCATGCACTTTGATGGGCACCGAAGCTCTTCCCCACCCCGGGCCCAGCCAGTGCTACGGCAGGACGTCCCAAAAGCTTCCAGGGCTTGGGCTCTGTGACCAGCATTGCTAGGCCCTGACGGCGCCTCTCAGTCCAGTCAATGCTTGGTGCAAGACCCCGACCATGCCATTAAGGGGCCCCAGAGAGAGGGCAGGACTGGCCTGGTAGAACTGCAGCATGGCTCTGCCTGAGGGCAGCCACGTCTCTCCAGGCAGCTGGAAGCAGTACAAGCTTGCTGAGCAGAGCAAAAGCATCAATGCCAGGGTTTCCCAACCTGGGGAGCTCAGGGGAAGGATGTGGGGAGTCATCATGAGATGGGGAAGAAGCTGCAGGAGAGAGACCAGGGCCCCCAGAAAAATTTGCTGAGACCAGAAAGCGCTTAGAAGCGGAGGTTGGAAAACGCAGACAGGTATTTTATTGTCAAGGTGACATTCATGCATTTCTTTTGCTTGTTCTACACGTCTGAGAAAGAGTGATTTCTTGTGGTTAACCACTTCATTTAAAAGGGAGAAGTTTGGGGCCACAAGGTGATCCGAATACTTTCTGTGTTTTGGGGGTGAAATAAAAATGAAATGAGGCATCCCCTCCCCCCCAGTTTTTTGTGCGAACACCAGCACGGTTTCATTTCTGGTTCCGT